AAGTAGAGGTACCACTGTAAATTGTTCTAAAAAAGCATGTGAACATGCTTGCTTTTCTTTTTCCTCCATAGTATTATGAGAATAGCTATCTGGAGAATGTACTTGGCTTTCAAAAAGCTATTAGAGAAAAGTCTCATATGAAAGCCTAAAAAAAGCTTAGCAATCATGAGATGAGAGGATGAGTCCTCTTGAAGACTGGTAAAGAAGAGAAAGCAAAAGGTATTAAATAAATTGTCAGTTGTCACAATGGAGAGAACTAAACAGTGGGGTATCCTAACAGTGGGGCCAGTGCTTTTTAACTTAAATGATCCAAACTTAGAAGTCAGCTATGACCTGTTAACAATTTGCCAGTGATTCCAAATTATTTGTAGTACTGTAATAAAAACATAAAGGAAAGCCAGTATGGTATAGTCGTTTGGGCGCTGGGCTAGGACCCTGGGGGACTGGGGTTCAAATCCCCACTCAGTCATGGAAACCCACTGGGTAACTTTGGGCAAGCCACACTCTCTCAGCCTCAGAGGAAGGCAACAAACTTCTTCTAAATAAATCTTGCCAAGAAAACACCATGATAGGTTCACCTTAGAGTCACTGGAAACTGGAAACAACTTTAAGGCAGACAAGAACAAAAACAAAGAGATTGTAAAAACCTCCAATCTTTAGTAAATGGGCTTGCAAGTGGCAAATGTGGTCCAGTGTTGCAGGGGAGTGGTCAGTGTCAGTTTATGCCATAATAAATTTGTTGAACCAAAATGCAGTTGTTAATCTCAGATAGATTAGAAACCTACTGAATCAGTGGAAACTTGATAAATCAGTCTTTACATAACTACTATTGATTCAGCTAGTAAACTCTACAATGATATTTAGGTCTTAGTCTATTTGTAATTTCATATGTATGTTGATGAGTTCCGAACTGACAATGACTGATTGCAGGTTCCTCCAGCCAGGATAAATGTTGCTAGATGTTCCACATTTTTTTAAAAAAAATCCCCTATCTGTTTCTGTTGTTTCGGACTATTTGCTGGCAAATAGCCACAATCTTGCCCCAACTACTCTGATTTTCCTTTTTTTAAGCCTGAGACATAGCACAACCATAAAAACTATCAGTGCCACCCCAAGCCACCTTTAGAGCCAGGAGCCAGTTTGGGCAAAGAAGATCACTTCAGCTTCCCAACAAGGCTCAAGGAGGAGAATTTCCTACTCCATCTCCTGTCACTGGGTGAGGCTGTGACAGTCAGAAGCAGGAGCTCTGTCACAAGTCCTAGTCACAACCTTGCTCATTGATGAAAGGGGAGTGGAAGCATAATCTTCTTTGTGTCCCCATCAGAAGCTGAACAGATCTCCTTCTCATGATTCAGCTACTCGGTATTAAGGTAGACTTGGGGGGAAGGGGTAGTTTCAGGCCAGGAGGCGTTTCTTAATTGCACATACATAACTTAATTAGCCAATGCAAAATATCAGTGAATGCTTTTAAGTAGATTGTTGTTCAATAAAGGTAATGGTTTTTCCTTTGACATGATTGTCAAGTCATGTTCAACTGTAGGAGGCAGTGTTCATCTCTGTTATTAAGCCAAGGGAGCCAGTGTTGTCAAAGATGACTCCACGGTCTTGTGGCCAGCACGACTGCATGGAATGCTGTTACCTTCCCACCAAAATGGTACCTGTTTATATACTTGATTTTTGCATGCTTTCAAACTGCTATATTGGCAGAAGCTAAGACTAGTGGCAGGAGCTTGGGTCTTGAATGGTCAACTTGCCAATCTTGCAATTGTCAGTCAGCATTTTAACTGCTGAGTCACCTTTATTGTTCAATGTATTTTTTAAATTTTTGCATTACAGATTATTTTAGTTATTTTCTTTTACCATACAATGTAAGCTATATTGGTCCTACTTGGGAGAAAGGCATGATATAAATAAAATAAAATACAACCAGTAACAAATGGCTATCCACAGAAAAGAACTCACAGATAGAGAATGGGTGAACATGGAGATGACAACAACTGGGAAAATCCAGTGAAACATGACAGTTATCTGGAAAAGCCCAATAAAAGCATGATGGGATCATGGCAGACAACTCAATGAAAAATGTGAAACCAGGAGATGACAGCTGTAGGAAAGCTGAGTCTCATGTTAAGGGTCATTAGGAGGAAAAGAAATGAATATAAAACTGTAAATATCATAATGTCTTTATACCCATCTCCCAAATAATTAATGTCGAACTGGAAAAGATGCAGATGATGGGCAGAAAAATCATCAGGTGGATTGATCTTTCTATTGGAAAAGTTAAAGCATTTGAAACTCTATAGATTTTTTTTGGGGGGGAAGAGGATTACTATTACTGTTGCTGTTGTTGTTGTTGCGCTTTCAAGTCATTTCCAACTTATTGACCCTAAGTGAACTTATCATGGGATTCTCTTGGCGAAATTTGTTCAGAGAGGGTTTTGCTGCTGCCTCCCTCTGAGGCTAACAGAGGACGTTATCACACGGGGGCAAATCTGCTGGTTAATCCACAC